TCTGGCGACGATATTAGAAAATTTTCTCTTTAAAACTGATAATAATTATTTCATAAATGTAATATAAAAAGTGAAAATATTAAGTACTTTATTTCATGAAAAATTAACAAAAACGTCCGAAAAAAAGACCTATGCAGTAAGATAAGTTAGTTCTTTATCATTGTAATAATCATTTCAGCCTAATAATAGTTAATACTAACAGAAACTTCTCAATATGAAATATTTTAAAAGTATGGACGTAGTAATGAATGTTAAGACAAATATAAAGCAATTGATAAGACAAATACTCATTGCTTGAGTATCAACAGTTAATGCAAGTAATTCTGAACAATTAATCCTCTAAAAATGATTTGTAACATCACGAGTATTGGATGCAGTCCTCAACACACAAGAAAAGAATATTGTTGTTCTTTTTTTCATAAAAAGACATATCGATGCTTATAAGAATCTGATGTATTGCTGATGGTTACTGTTTCACTGTAACAATAATATCTAGGTCAAATGAGATCCAAAGACAATGATAGACTTTTGATATTGTCATGTGTGGAGGTGATCTGATGTTTTTGTAGAGACATTCGGAAATAGATGCAATTGCTGATGAAACTTATTGGTACTATCTTGAGGTATTTGTGTAATACTAGTAGTATTTGAGATTGCTTTAGTGAAAGTGGTGACACTCGATTCGTAATGTTAGTTATAATTGTTGCGATACAGATAGATGTGATTGTTGTTGAATGTTTTCTTGTTGCAAAGGTAGTTTCCTTATATTACAAATGACTCTGTATTGATGGCAGTATGTATTCTATTAAACCATATTTTTTCATCACAGCATTGACTTTCTATTTGTATGCCATTAATGATATGCCTTGCATTCTGATTACTTTTTAGTATATTGAAATTATTTGAGAAGTATGTGCTGACATGTTTTGATAATTTTGAATTTAGAACAAATGTAGTAATCAAATAAACAAAGGTAAGAATGCCTAGTATATCAAATATAATAGTTGTCATGCCAAGTAGACAAGGAACAAAATCTATTGTATCTAAATAAAGTTACAAATTACCTTTAGATTTTTAAGCACTTACGCCATGAATAAAAATAAAATAATCAAGTTTTAAAAGTACTATAATCAAGGATATGGGCACCGAGTATCATATCAAATAATTTCAATAACACAAATTTAGAAAAAAATCAATAGAACTGAATAATCAAATTTCATAGTATGACTTATTTCTTCACACTGATGCATGTACCAACCTTGAAATGTGACAGAAAA